TAGAAGCTCTAGGCCAGAGGTGAGTCACTGTGTAACTGTAATCGCAGATCTCTGTTTGAGATGTTTCCCAATGCTACAAACCCTGATGGATCTCCTGTACATCAGTTTAGGAAAGTTTCTCAAGAAAACTAATTGTAGAAAGATGCAGATTTACTACGGCTGTGACAGAAATCTGATGCCAACTTGTATATAAATATATCTGTATTAAAAATAAATATAAATACAGTATTTATATCTGTATGTAAGAGACACAGTATATAAAATAAATAAATATATATATACTGGGAATATGCACAGGATGGCAGACATAGTGCGTTAATGATCAGCTCCACAGGGCATTCCTATTCGCCCTCAGAACATCCTTCAGGGCCTCAGAACCAGCGTCCGCCGTCATCCTCACCAAATGTAGGACATCATGAGAATGAAGGGACAGATGATGACAGCCTGCAGGACCTGCCAGTCGCGGCACAGGGCGGCCAGGCCGGGCATGAGCAGCTGCCCTCCCAGCACGATGAAGCTCGCCACCATGGTCACCGAGAACCGCCTTCCCGGGGGGCACAGCTCAATCCCTGCGGACGGGGAGAGGAGACAGAGCTTTACCTCGGCGCCCCCCTGGAACAGCAGGCAGGGGGCGCCAGGGCGCGGGGACAGGCCGGCAGGGTCAAGGACGCCAACGTTGCCGGGGGCTGTGGGGCATTTACAATCCTGAAAACAACCCCTTTCACTCTGGGCTGTCATTTGGTTCCCCGTCTTCTAGCGACATGCCTAGTCGAGGTTTCACAAAAAGCTCCAGACTGTTTTAAGGAGCTAGCAAGAGACAAGACTTTGGGGATTGGACACGTTATCCAGACATGACATGTTACGGTAGCAGATCCAGGATCCGGTCTCCCATTTTATGCTGGACAGGTGTCTGAAATGCTTAACTGCAAACCTCTCCTCTCCCTCTCTCTCTTTCTCTTTCTCTCTCTCCAGGACGGACATGTGTCAGCTAGACCCTTCCAGAGTGACAGGGTATGGATAATTCAGGGCTTGACACCAGATCCATTCAGCCCTGTAGAGAAGCTTGGAATTTTAATTAGGAACCCCCGAGGAACTGAATGATTCCCTCTATTCATCAGCACTATCCATGCTTGAATAACAAGGCGACTCGGTCCTGTCACAGAATGTTAAAGAGCACTGCCTCAGTTGTGGCACTGTTACAGTCGCACTTGCATACAAACCAATTCATAAAACTAAAAACTTTTGTTTTTTAGACTTGTCTTACCATATACTTCATAGATTTTAGATTTGCAAGAGGTCATTAAGTTATACCTAGAGATTTTTCGTGAATTAACAAGTAAAGATATCTATTGGTTGTTACAGCCAAATATTAGCATCCAGAAAATGTTTTGACCAATATGTAACACCTTCTGAGACTAAAGAAATAATATTACATTTAGGTTTTAGGTAGTTTGGAGAGATTTTTCTTTTTAGTGAGAGAAAAGTTCTTAATACATGCCATAAGGGCACTAATAATAAAATGAGGAATAATAATGCATAATCACATAATGAAATAATCACATAAAAACTTCTGTGATAACTGAAACTGCTGGATAATCATATAATGATGCAGAATGATTTTAATGCATTTCATGATCATTTTTTCCCGACACAACAAAAGAAGTACAGAAAACTGAAATATTTTTGAAACAAAAAGTTCAGTAAATTGACTGAATTCCACTACAAACAACAGTGAGACTTTCATCATAAAGAACACATAACAGAACAAGTGTTCATTTGTTTCCATTAATATTTCATTTGGTACAATAGGAAGGACTATTTAGTTAAACTGGAACATTTCAGGTCAATAACTTTTGAACACGACCTTCCCTTCTTTCAGTAATTCGTGTTTAGAAGCTCTAGGCCAGAGGTGAGTCACTGTGTAACTGTAATCGCAGATCTCTGTTTGAGATGTTTCCCAATGCTACAAACCCTGATGGATCTCCCGTACATCAGTTTAGGAAAGTTTCTCAAGAAAACTAATTGTAGAAAGATGCAGATTTACTACGGCTGTGACAGAAATCTGATGCCAACTAACACAGAAGTAGCAAATAAAATGTGGTCAAAACACACCACATGAAATAAATCCCATCCTGCGAAAGGTTTTTTTATTCTCTGCATGCTGCCTCACTGTCTTATTTAGCTGTCACTACTATTTAAATCATATGCTTCTGTACAGCTCTCTATTTCATTTTACAACGTTAAACTGAACTGGTGCACCTAAATATTAAGATTATCAGTGCTTGTAATACCTCTTAGAGCTCGGATTGTGTGCAACAGCCAGAATTTTATACCAATGAAATGTTTGGAGTAGTCTGTGGAACACATGCAAAGCTATACAGTATGTTGTCATTCAAAAGAAGAGAATAATAAAGTAATGCGATTGAGGAGAATTGTTTGTACAAAGAATAACTGTACAACTTAAATTTCAGTACAATAGATACATTTTTAACCTCATTTGGTAATCAAGCCAGTAATTGTTTGACCTCCAGTGTTTTACTTTTACAGCCCACATACAGTATTATTTCCTCCACCTGCATTGCGAGACGATTATGAGACTCGTTTGAAGGTGTGATGCCAGTACTAAAAGTTACTTCAGTCCGGCTCAGTAACTGTGCTCGTTTTCTGGAAACTCTGCTGGTTATGGGAATCCATGGAGTAACATCAACATCACGCTCTAGCCTGATCGCATCAGACCTCGAAAAGCTATGAAATGATGCTCTATGATGATAAAGCAAACAACATATTGGGTATAGATGTAGCTGCAGACATTAATGTATACATTTGTATATAACTGGATATATGACACTTCATCCTAATATCACATTGTATATGTTGAAGACTTAAAATACTGCTTGGCTACCACACTGTACTGTATTTATAAATATTATTGGACATAAGTTTAATATATTGCTATTAATTTGTTACCCCAGATCCATTGGAGCTGTACCCAAATCAAAACATGGACATTGTGTGCTGCATTCAGTAACTGTGAAAAAACGAACTATGGAAAACTTTGGGAAATAGCAGGACTCCTCTTTTATGTTGTATAATCACTGATAAAGTAGATTATGGATAACAATGCTCCTACAAGCTCTGCCCAAAGACATGTGGCCATATAGCACATTATATTGCAATATAATTAAAATAGAAATGGCAATTCATTTTTGTTTTAGAGAACCAATTAAATAAATCAACAGCCTAAAGCGACAGGTGAATGGCCTTACATTTACCACAAGAGGGAGTAGTCTTTTTTTTTTCAAACTGGTTAAAAGGGAAGAAAGGGAGAGAATGAAACTGATGGTCTGGCCTGAAAAAGGAGGCTTTAGTACAAATATCCAAAAGCCTCGTCTTCAGAATGGACAGTCAAACACGAACCACAGAGCGCAAGAGGATACGTCGCGGATGTGTCTTTACAGTTGAGATCAGGAAGCCCTTCTTATCCAAAGGTTTATGGTTATGTGGAACAAGCCGCCCAGCCATGCTGTTGAAGCTGATACCCTGACTTCTTTCGGAAAAACAGCTGGAGTCGAGAGCCTTCGATCAATTAGCTGCTAACTTCCAAATGCGTCAGATGTGCTGAACGGTCTATTCTCATCTGTTAATTGTTTTGTGTTCTTAATTACACTATTCCTGCTGTGAATTCCGAAATAGTTGGCAATGACTTTATTCTCATCAAGCTTTATATTGGGGGGGGGGAAACGGATATGTCTTTAAAAAAGTACTCGGGATTTAATTTCCATACATCACCATAAAAATCATTATAAAAAAGCTGATAATGTTAAAGCAAATAGCTAATTTTTAGATTTAATAAATGTGAACATTCAATAAGTTACTAAACTGAAAACAATTTCAAAAGGTTTTTCAAAATGTAATGGTTTTACTAATTTATA